AGAATCTTCAGGAGAGGCTGGGAGGCCTCTCGGGGCCGTCTTGGGCCCCACTGTTCAAAACCAAAAAAAAATCCTCAATTCAGGCCCCCCCCATCGGAGGCTCTCAGACGGCGTCTTGGAGACGTGTTGGAGCGCTCTTTGGAAGCCTTTTGGGCGATCTTGGGGCCGTCTTGGCCCTTCTTGGGCCCCTCTTGGGGCTCTCTTGGGCCATCTTGGGGCCATCTTGATGCCTCAGGGGCCCGTCGGAAGCGAAAAGACGAGAATGCCAAACACATTGACTTTCCTTAGGTTTTTGAAACATTTTGGCTTCTTGGAGGGCGCCGTGGAGGGCTCGAAGGGCACTTGGATCCGTCTTGAGGACTCTTGGAGGTGTGTCGGAGGCTATGTTGACCCATCTTGAGGTATCTTGGGCCATCTTGGAGGCCATCTTGCGGCTTGGAACGCCTCTTGGAACCATCTTGAGCCATCTTGGATGCTCTAACGCCTCGATCCCCCCCCCTCCAGGTCCAGGGGAAGGTTACCCCTCCCCCAAGCAGGTGAAGGAAGGGGAAGAGAGAAGACCAAACTCGCTATACCACCGTAGCCCTAAAGGGCTGGTGGGACTTCCACCTATAGACTTCCAGCCTCCACCAGCTCAGCACTCCGACCTCTAGCGTCCGGCATCCGACTTTCCACCTTCACCTCCACTCAAGCGTCCACCAACGCTGCGCCCTGAGCCCCGCGCCGGGCGCTACCGCGCACTCGCCTCGCCTCGCCTCCGCTCGCACAATTCCCACGCATCTCATTGAACAAATGTGTTCTCGCCCGCGCCCAGAAACATCGTAGGTGCAAGGATCAAGATTAAAAGGCGAAGCGCAGCGAGCCTTAAAATCTTGTGTGTATATATATATATATATATAAGAAGCCCCCTGGAATTCCTAGGCATCCCTAGGAATCCCTAGGACCCCCTAGGATTCCAAAGGACTCCCTAGGACTCCCTAGGAGCAATATTCCCTAGGACTCCATAGGATTCCCTAGGACTTCCTAGGACTCCCCGGGAATCCCTAGGAATATCTACGACTCCCTAGGAATCCTTTTTTTAAAATGCCATACGAATCTCTAGGAATCCCTAGGAATCCCTAGGAGCCCGTACATTCCTTAGGAATCCGTAGGAATCCGTAGGAACCCCCAGGAACCTCTTTGAATAAGATGCCATAGGAATCCGCAGGAATCCCTAGGACTCCCTAGGAATCCCTAGGACTTCGTAGAAACCCTTAGGAAAACCGTGGGAACCCATGAAAATAAGATTCCTTAGGAATCACTAGGGTCCCCTAGGAAACCCTAGGACTCCCTAGGAATCCTTAGGAATCTCTAGGAACCCGTAGGAATTTTACGGAATCCCTAAGAATACAATTCCCGAAGAATTTATAGGGGTCCATAGGAATCTCTAGAATCTCCAGGAATTCTCAGAAGTACTTAGGAATCCCTCGGGCCCCCTAGGAACCCTTAGGAATCCCTAAGAGTAAGATCCCCTGGGGATCCCTAGGAGTCCCTAGGAATACCTAAGAATCCATAGGAATCCATAGGAACCCCTGGGAATTCCTAGGGGCCCTTAGGACTCCCCGAGGGTAAGATTGCATACGAATCCTAGGAAGCCATAGGAACCCACAGGAATCCATCGGAATCCATAGGAACCAGTCGGAACCCTGAGGATGACTAGGAATCCCTCTGAACCCATAGGAACCCTTAGGATTATTAGGAACTGAAGGAACCCTCATGCACATAAACACGCGCACTCCTCCCCCCCCCCCTCCCCAATCGCCCTGCCCAGAAAGCAAGAGAGCGTACTTTGTCTGCGCAACCCTGCCCCCGGAGTTGCTCTGACACCGCGGTCGCGTAGGCGGCTCAGAGTACAGCGGTTTCAAAGCGCCCCCTGCTCGCCCCCCTCGCTCGGCTCCCTGCCCCCCTGTTCCCCCGCCCCCCCCCCCCCCCCCCGCGCCCCCCCCCCCCCCCCCCCTGCCCTGTAGGCGGATCGCGTAACACTACAGCTACACAGTGCCCTCAGCCCGCGGCCCAGGAAACGCCCCAGACTACACCCGCTGCAAAGTGCGCTCCTTCACATACGCGCCCACCTCCTTCATCAGATCAGATGGCGGCACGTCCTGCTTGTGCAATCGCATGGAGCACTGGTGGGCGTAGCGCATCACCTCTGGGTTGACATCCTGCGTCTTCGGGTTTGCGGTAACTCTCAGGGAAGGCATGGCGTTCTTGAGATGCGTCCAGAAGTTGTCGATGGTCCCCGAATGGACGCTGAGGTTCGGCCCCCTGCCCCTGCGAACCTCCCGCACCCAAACGCCCTTGCCATGGGCGACATGGCAATGGGGCACCCGCAGGGAATTCGCAGCTGTTGGGCACAGCCGCGCACCATCTGACACCACGCAGTCCGTCTGCTTCGTGTGAACGCACTCGAAACCGCCGCAGGCCTTGACCCTCTCGAGATCCTCCACTGGGGGCGCAGACGCCCGCTTGGTCTTGCCTAGGGCCATCTGGTAGATGCAAGCCTGCAAGCCATGCCCATCCTGGCGCTGCCGCTGGACGGCGCCGAAGAGCTGGCAGTGGCACCTGGGAGACAAGCCTGCGATGCAGAGAAGGCAGGACGAAGGGGGAAGGGGGAAGGAGGAGGGAGGGGGGTTGGAGGCGGGCGCATTCGCGCCGACATCATACCCCCCCCTCCTCCTTCCTCCGCCCCCTCTCCTGATACGCATCGCAGGCGAAGGCCCAACGAAAATAATACCTGGAGTCCTTCCAGCAGAACGAGCTACTGCACGTAGCATCCACCTCGACGATGTCAGACAGCTTCCGCTCAGACTGCAGGTGCCTGCCGTAGCTGGCCCCCGCATGGCCGATGTCGCGCGCGACCTTGCGGACGAGCTTGCCCCCTCCAATCCACTTGTAGCCCAAGATCTTGGAGACCATCTGCACAGAGGGCGGTTTGCCTGGAGTCTCACTATGCACCCTATAGCGCGCCTCCAGGATGGCCACGACCTGTTGCAAGCCCCCATCCCGCATGTTCACCTGCCGCAGGAAAGTGAAGCGCAACGGTGACCACCGCCTCTTGCAGCTGTTCCTGTCGCGTTTGGAACGCAAGGGGAAAAACTTGCCCTTGCAGAGCTCCATGTGCAGGCCCTTCCGCTTGCAAGCTGGGCAAGAGGAAGGCCTGCACGCCCACCCCAAGGTGCAGAGCCTGGAGAACGCCGTCTTCTCCCGCCTGGGGTTCGCACAGTCGAGAGTACCAAATTCGTCTTTGTCCTCGGTGATCCTGACCCTCCTCCTGTAGTTCCGCTGGTCCTTCAGGGTTTGCACCTGTTTGCGTTTCCGCTTCAGGCGTGTCGCGGAGCGCTGCCTCCTGCACCTTTTCCCGCGCCTTTCCCCCGCCCAGGCCAGTCTCCCTTTGGCAGGACCTCTTTGCAAGCGCCCGGCTTCAGCGGCCCTTGTACCTCTTCCGCTTCTTCCCGTTGCCGTGCACCCCTGGCAGGCCAGTGACCTTGACCCCGCCCGCGTTGTCCGCATCCTCCACAAAAGAGCGGATGTCCTTCACCGCATGGCTGCGCTTCACAAGAGCGTAGAGTTTCAGGGCCAACTTTTGGCAGGAATGGGCATTATGCCCATACTCACCGCACACCTGGCACTGCCTACTGGGCCCTTTGCCGTTTTGCGGAGGCCTCTTTCCCTGGTTCTGGCTCCGCTTCAGGCTCGACCTCGTCGCCCTCGCCGGGCTCGAAGACCTCTTCCTCGTCCGACTCTTCGGAGGCGGACAGCCACTCTTCCGCCTGAGCAGGGGTCTGGGTCAGAATCCGTAGGAATCCGTAGGGATTCTCAGAATTCCTACGGATTCCCAGGGATCCCCAGGAATCCTGACGATCCCTAGGAATCGTAGGGAATCCCTAGGAACCCGTAGGGCACTGGTCAGGATGGCCCCACTTGCACGGCTGGACTCGGCAAGACATGCTGGTCAGGATGGCGCCAGTTCTGTCTTTTGTCTCCTGAAGCCTCGTCGTGGGGTTCCTGCCCCGGTTCGAGCTTGTCCTGGCGTTCCCCATTGCAGTCCAAACACAACGCCACAGTGCTGCGGAGGAGCACCCCAGGGACGTGCCTAGCACGGCACCAGTCACAGGCAGGCATCCTCCCTGAGCCGTCTCGGGCCAAAAACGGCTATGGGAAGAGGGAGAGGGGGGGGGGGGGAGGGGGGGGGAGGGAGGAGGGAGGGAGGGAGGGATGGGTGAGAGGGAGGGGGGAAGGAGGGAGGCTCTAGGTCTCTTAGGGGACTCCTGGGCCCGTCTTGGGAGGCTCTTAGAGGGAGGGAGAGAGGGAGAGAGGGGGGGAGGGAGGGAGGGAGGGAGGGAGCCGTCTTGGGAGGCTCTGGGTCTCTTAGGGGTATCCTGGGTCCGTCTTGGGAGGCCTCTTGGTGTCTCGAGGGGCCCCTGGGTCCCACTTGGGAGGCCTCTTGGGGGTTCCCTAGGTCCGTCTTCAGAGGCCTGTTGGGGCGTCTTGGGGGTCTCCTAGGGCGCATGGATGCCTGATCCTGGTTTGTCCCCTACTGCTTTCCTCGGCGTAACGGCTTCGCCACCCAGCTATGGAGGATGAGGTAGTGCTCACAACTTGCCACGGATGAGGAGGAGCCGCTCCTCGGCGCAACGGCTTCGCCACCAAGCTATGGAGGATGAGGTAGTGCCCGCAACTTGCCACGGATGAGGAGGAGCCGCTCCTCGGCGTAACGGCTTCGCCACCCAGCTATGGAGGATGAGGTAGTGCTCGCAACTTGCCACGGATGAGGAGGAGCCGCTCCTCGGCGCAACGGCTTCGCCACTCAGCTATGGAGAATGAGGTAGTGCTCGCAACTTCATCACATCAATCACCCATCATCATCAACCAACATCATCATCAACCAGCATCAGCATCAACCATCATCAACCATCATCACATCACCATGACACAACATCGGCACAACCAGGGGTCTGTTG